TTCCCCTCCAACTCATGACCCATCCATCCCACCTCAATCTGTAGCTCTTTTTGACCATTTTGAACCCATCACTCTATCTTCTGTAGAGCAGGTCACGTGCAGCTTGAAACCTTATGGCTCCCCCTTTGATGTGGTCCCCCCTCGACTACTACAGGAGGTTTTTCCAACTCTAGGTCCGTCCATTCTTACTATAGTAAACAGTAGTTTATCCACTGGCATGGTGCCAAAATCCTTTAAACATGCTGCTGTCCAGCCTCTCCTGAAAAAAACAAATCTTGACCCCTCAGTCGTTTCCAACTACCGGCCTGTCTCCAAACTCCCATTTGTTTCTAAAGTACTGGAGAAAATAGTCGAGTCCCAGTTGAAATGCTTCTTGGAGGATCATGCCATCTTAAAGCTTTTCCAATCTGGCTTTAAACCTCCCCACAGCACTGAAACTGCCCTGCTGAAGGTCTTTAACAACATCTTCAGATTCACAGATACCGGTGATTCTGTGCTGCTTGTCCTGTTGGACCTCACAGCCGCCTTTGACACCATCGACCATGAGATCCTCATTACTAGGTTGGAGCAGTGGGTGGGCGTCACAGGATCAGTCCTCAATTGGTTCAGATCTTACCTCGCTGACAGATCCTTTTGTGTCTCCATCAAGGATTTTAGTTCTGCAGAGGCAGAGCTTAAATGGGGGGTTTTGCAGGGGTCTATCCTGGGTCCCCTCCTATTCTCTTTATACCTGCTGTCACTTGGTTCTATTTTCCAGAAACACAACATGCCCTTCCACTTCTGTGCTGATGACTGTCAAATTTACTTCCCCCTAAGACACAATGGTACATGCTCTATTCAGCCGCTGCTCAACTGCCTGGCTGACATCAGGGACTGGATGGCTTTAAACTTCTTGAGTTTCAATGAAAAGAAGTCTGAAGTCATGTTGTTCCCTCCCAACGACACGATCACAAACCACTGCTTCGACCTTTCCGCTCTAACCCTGTCAGAAAAACAAAGAGTCACTAATCTGGGCGTGATAATGGACCCTTCCCTGAAGCTTAACAATCATGTAAACATGATTGTAAAATCATGCTTCTTCCAGCTTAGGCGGCTGTCTAAACTGAAGCCCATATTGTCCAAAAATAAACTGGAGACAGTAATACGTGCATTCATTACATCTAGGCTTGATTACTGCAATTCACTCCTGTTTGGTATCAGTCAGACCTCCATTGCACGACTACAACAGGTCCAGAATGCAGCAGCCCGATTTTTAACCAGTACAGGCAAAAGAGAGCACATTACACCAGTTTTGGCCTCACTGCACTGGTTACCGGTTCACTTTCGAATCCAGTTCAAAATACTCATGTATGTCTACAAATCACTGAACAGTGTCGCCCCCCCCCCCCCCCCCAATCTCTCTGATCTGCTACAACCATATGTCCCACCACGTTCCCTGAGGTCAGCGGACCAGTTGCTCCTCACAGTTCCAGGAACTCGTCTTAAGCGCAGAGGTGACAGGGCCTTCTCTG